AACTTGTTTTAGCTGTTTACTTTCTTGTGGAGTAGTGTGTGGGGGGGTGTTTTGTTTTCTGTTTTCCTCCGTTTTTTGATTTTTATGCCGCCATGTAAAATGTCTCTTTTTGTTAAACTTCTCCCCTCCCTTCTTCCCCCCTTTCTCCCCAACAATGTCAGCCTGCATTGTCTATCCAAGGGAGCAGGCAGGGAAGGGTCAACCCGCCTGCCCAGCTATTGCCATGCTGAAGAGTTATAACCTGAAGGGGAAAGGATGTGGAGTGGGGGGAACCCCAGGGCAGGGTGGAAGTCAGTAATAGAGGCGAGAACAATTCTTACCCTTCAGTCCTCCAGGCTCCTGCTGGCCTGAATATGTGACTCTTCCAAACTCCAACTAGCACTAACACAGATCAACATATGTGGGGCTCACAATGTAAGGGATAACAACTCCCTGAGTTAAGGCTACTTTTGGACAAAATATGTTGACATAGATCAACCTGGGGAAACACGTTCTGATAATCCTGAGGCATTGAACTGCACCATAAACTAGAATTATGGGAGAACGTGTGTAAAGTAGCACCTGAGGTTGCTGGAGGTAATAGGGTTAGAAACAGGAGGAGGGAGTCATCACGGTCATAAATTTGTCTTAAAGTGGCTAGTAGTTTGTCTGAAAGGTTCCTCTCTTTTGTCATTGTAAGGATCCAAAAGCTGGGTGACTTTGATCCTTTTTCTTCTCAGTGCCTGAGGTGTCTTTTACCCAATCCTGACACTTCACAATGTGTAAAATACTGTGGTAGTAAAATGTTCTACTAGTTAGCTAAGATGTGGCTTGTTATATTTTATATTGGGCCAGATATTCTGCTTACACTCCCGACACCTGCCCCTTTTGCCAACAGAGTTAGGATCTGGCACATACCTACGTTGAGTGTGGCAAGTTGCAGCCCCTTTTCTGCCTCCTCCAGGACCATCATCTGAGGTTCTCGATATACTTCTCCCCACACCTCTTCTGTTATGCACTCCCTATCTGTGGTCCCACCAAGTCCTGGGACATCCTGGTCAACCTCCTCCTGGCTCTGCCCAAGCTAGACGTCTACCAGACCAGGAAGAAGGCAGAGTTTCACTTGTCATCATCCACAGACTCCTTCAACTCATTTGCGGGGGCAGTAGGGACTGGCTGATATGGTCTGCATAGTGCCCCCCTCTTGATCCCTTATTTTTAACCTGTGGCCTTATTTCCTTCCATGTCTTCTTTTTATTTGTCCCCTGTACTCAGTTGATATGTCCCCAGTGGCCTCCCTTATTAAGGGAGGCTTACAGTTTTCTGTGATGGGCCTAAGCCCATTATCTTTTGGCACATCAAACAGGCCTGTGTCGCATACTGGCCAAGAGTGGATGCTGAAAGGGACAGTGAACTGAGTAGGACCAGGCGCTTTTTCCATTGTTCCTCTCTCACTTGCAGTCACCAGCATTTCAGGTATAGGAAGTTCTAATTCAGGGGCTGTATCCCTAACTCCCATGCTCAATAGCTACTGATTTTCCTTTCCTCCAAAAATGTGCCCAATCCCTCTCTGAATCTGGTTAAACTGTGAGCTGTGACTAGTTTCCAGTAAATACTGTATGCATTTATCTGGTTATTTCCCTGAATGCTTTTGCCATAGTTTCTCAGTGCCATACACAAATCTTTAAGGTTTTCCTCATAAGCCAAATATTTTGCTGCATTAAAATTTTCTCTGGCCTCCTATGTTATAATAATGCTCAGAAAAAAACAGAAGTTTTTAGATGAAACGGATAATGAAATTATTGAAACAAAATAGTAATTCTTTCACTTTTATGTTTAAGCAAATTAGCTGTATACACATCAGTGTTGTATTCAGCACAACAAATATAAAAATATTTTGGTGATTATTCATGACATTTTGCAATATGCTCAGAATTTCTGGTTACTGCTACTCTAGACTTGTCTGCCATTAAATCAGAGCAATATTATATTGTATTTGAGATTCATAAAGTAAGCGAATTCAGGATCAAAACGTATGAAGCTAGTTTCATTTTTGTCTTTATAGTATCTTTTCTCCTTGTCTCTCCCTACTTTTATTTGAGATTCCAGAAGTACAAATGTGTGTTAAAGGGAAGTAACTGTATATACTAGCTTTCAAGGAGAAAAAAATGATAGTGGGAAATTCTAAATGAACCAGTACATAAGAGTTACCTTCTAACTCACTTTGTTTAAATTTAGGGAGAGCCTGTCACTTTCTGTGAGGACAGTTTTGTGAAGCATCGTTCCAGTGCTGTTAAGCAGTTCCTGGAAACTGCAGTGAATCTTCAACTTTTTAAACAGGTAGGATATGATAAGATGACATATGTGCTCTCCTTTCTGCATCTATCAGGCCCCTTCTACATGTTACAGGTATCATTCTATTAACTGATTAATTACGCAGTTACGTTAAGACCAGTACACATGCGAAGTAACAATGACACAATAAAAAGCTCCAACCAGCTATACAGTTAAACCTAAAAAATGTGTACTAACTTTTATAGCTGGTTGCTATTAAGCTTTAATTTTTATGTGTAGCAGGGTCTCCTGTGCCTGGGAGCCCAATCAGCTGACAGGGCTCCCAGCCACAGGAATTCATTGTGCCCAATGTCAAACCCCTGGGTCCTGGGGAGCAAGACTCAGAGATGTATGAAACCCCTGGACCTACACAGGGTGCTCGGTGCCAGCTGTACTGCACACCTAGCTGGACTGAGAGTCCTGTACCTGATGGTCTCTCAATTTCAGCTGTGCATGGCCCCTATAGCTGGGAACCTGCTTCTTGCCACTGCAGAGGGAGCACAGGATTGGGTTCTCCCTATGTTGGCAATAAGGCATGATTGGATCTAATGCATGATCCCACAATCGTGCCTCCTGCCGTGTGCCACATGTGGCATGGCAAAAGGTGTAATTGTATGGGTCACACATTAAATCCAATAACGCCTTTACCTGTACATGTTGAGGGGGCATCAGTATTTGAAAGCACTCAAGAAGATCAGTTGGAAATGTAAAAAAGAATGGGAATAACAAATGTTTAACTCCATTGAGTGTACAAAGGGGTATATGTTGCAGCCATGTCTGTATAAGAAACATAGACACATTTGGTTACAACGTATATCCCCGAAACATGGAAGATACCATGTTTTAGCCATTTGGAAATGTAAACTTCAATGCTAACCAAGAAAGAGGAATTTTTTACCTCCCTGACTAACACTGGACACCTCCAAGGATGAAGCCTGCCCAATCAGCTTATCAAAGATCAACTTTCTCACAAAAGGACTCTGAATAACCATGGAGAAAAAACTCCCACCCTCTACATCCCCTGTGTAAAATGAAGTTTCTTTTCTACCTGGGAGATCTCTTACAATCTTTGAATTCTCCTCAGCCTGAAAAAGGGTGTTTGGATCAAAAAGGTTGCTAAAAAAGGAATTGTTTTGCTACTATTTTGTTGGTCTAATAAAAGATATCACCTCTAACCCAAGAGTATTGTTTGAGTGTACCAAGAACTGTCCCAGTGCTGTTGTGTCTCCGTCACAATCAGGTACATCTCTCTCCAGAACAAGTCAACAACTCTTCTGAAGAGAAAAAGCAAGGAGCTCTCGGCTTCATAGATCTCTTCAGTACTGATTTATTGGCAAAGGACCTAAGCATCTAACACTTTACTAGATGGAGATTTCATTTGATTTATAGACTGGATTTGAACTGTATTTATAGCTTTGATAGAATTCACCAACCACATAAACAGAGAAGTTTACAAAGTCAAGACTTCAGCCAGCTAAGTACCTTCCTGGCTTCAAGAGCTATCAAATAGAAACCTAAGAATCTATATATTTATGTTGACCATAAGGAAAGTGAGGACATCTGGGACACTGCTTCTCTATCTCGTGCTCTCACAAGTCACTGGGGGCAGGGCAGGGTGGTGTGGTGCCTGCCTGCCTGCTTGCAAAGCACTCCTGGCCAGACTGCGCCGTCACACCCTTATGTTTCCAGGATACCCATTATAAATCTCAGCAATCAACTGAGACTAACCTCAAATCCAGGACTGTCTCAGCTAAACCTGGAGATACAGTCACGTTATATATATACATGTGATGACTATAGGTGTTGTAGGGCTTGCTGCCACTGCCCTGAGCTCGTTTTCCTACAGGTGGTGACAGGGTGAACCTCGGCTTCAGATCACCTGGTCTGCTAGGAAGTTGGTCTTATGTTTCTCGCCCACCATGACCTTGATGTTATATTGCTAGGAGGCAATGCCCAAGGTGGTCCGACCCAGTCTCAATCCCTGTTTTCTTCTGTGGGGCTCCAAACCTCCCTTTTACCCCACCCTAGCCTCTCCAGATGGCACTCATCGTTCTCTGCAGCCAGATCTTAATGCTGCCTGTTGGTCTGTTGTTCCACCCTCAGCCACCAGGGTTACTGTCAGGTTTAGTTAAGTGCGCGCCCTACCAGGGCTGGCCTTGGCCTGCCCTCAAATATCCAAAAAAAAGAGAAAAGCAAAACCCAACTGCTCTCACTCTCTCTGTCAGACTCAGTCCATGTCCCCTTCACCTGGAGTCAGGCTGTCATGTCCAAATCGCAACAAAAAAAAGCAGTTAATCCAGTCACTGCTCTTCATGGGCCTGCTCTGGCTTACTTGTGAGCATTCACAGTCCCAGTGGGATCTCTCCTATGTGCAACAAGGCTCTAACCTGAAAACAGCAATTCTTCTGGCCTCTCCCCCAGATCCTCAGCTGTCACTCCGCTCCAGGGATTATCAGAAGCCTTGGGAGTGCAGGCCTCCACCTGCCTCCTTCTCCAGGTCATACCTTCAGTGTTTCTCCAGCAGGTTTCGCAACACTTGCCTGCTGGGTTGCTCAGCCACTGCGCTCTCTGCGGCCTGCAGGGAATCAACCCCCCTCTGCCCCTCTCTGGCGCTGGAAATACCTCTGAGCAGCCTCCCTTCTCCAATCCGGAGTGAGATGTTGCTCTGGAAGTGTGGTGATTGCTTCTCTTCCCTTCCGGTCTCCAGCTGCAGCCCCACCGGCCCTCCATGTTGTAAGTGTTGCTTGCTTTCACTTTCCCTGTCTGTTGCAGCTGGCTGCTTTTCTTCTCCTGACCTCACCTGCCCAACATGTAAGGCACCTTGCGGCTTTTGTTTACTGTCTCTCACTCCTTCTCAATACAGTGTAACCTCATAAACAAAGCACCTGCTGGAAATTTGAAAATTCTGTATTTTTGAAACCAGAGCAGCAGCACAGTGAGGGGGCAGGAGGGGTGGAAGGAAGCGGCGGCTGGTCCCGGAGCGGTGGATGGAGGCGGCAGCCGCCATGTGCAAGCTTCCCCATCTGTGGCCGGTCCCGGGGCAGCAGCCACATGTGGAGCAGCGACACAGGGTGTTGGATGGTAACGGCTGCTGCCGCGTGCAATCTTCCATCTCCATGTCCAGCAGTAGCATATTTTTAAAAAGGGCCGTATTTTTGAGAATTCGAGATTTTTGATATCCATATTCATAAGGTTATACTGTATTGAGCCTGGATGAGCCTAAATTGCTGCTTTTAGGAGGAGTTGCACAGAGCAGTAATAACTTCAATTGTAGTCTTCCCACAATGTGACTAGCTTCAGCTAAATTTGTTAAATACTTCTTTCCATAATACGATCTCCTCTTTTTCTTCACCCTCCTTTCCATTTCCTTATATAATTGTGGTATTTGACAAAACACTGAGACCAAACAATAAACCTGTAGAAGAATAATCTTCTCTGCTTGTGGAAAAAATAGGAAAATTTCCTAAGGGGGGGGGTGAGAAAACTTCTAAAAAAATCCTGGCATGATTAAGACTGACTCCAGCGGGTTCAAATATGGTGGTTCATGCTTAACTAATATGTTGGCTTCTCTGCAGTTGTATTACCATAATAAATAAGGAAAAAATACTGGATGTAGGATCTTTTAATTCTCTATTAAAAATGGGTACATTGATATCAAGCATTACAGAGATATTTTACACATTATTAAATGTCTAGAATAAGACCAGTCAGAGAACAAGTTATACAACATTTGAACATCATTATTTGGCTTTTAAAACTAGCATTAAAAACCTTCAGCCCCCAGAGGCATTAATAGATATCTTATATATGCTGAAATATTTGAATTTTGATAGGACTGTATCCTCAGGTTAGTATATTGGTGCTATTTTTAATAATGAACACAGGGCCTTTCCTTTAACTTTGATTTGATGTGGTTTCTTGTACTTCTCTAATCCACAACCCAAGCTGCCTCTTCTCCAACAATTTCCCCATGACAGCTGGGCTGCAGTCAAGGTTGTGTGTGTTTTAAAAAGCTAAGTTGAGTTTGTTTGTTTCCTGATAATGAGCATCCTTAATAGCAAAAAATAATATGCAAATGCAGCCTAGACAACTAGGTTGGGGTGCCTGGTTTTTTAATGCATTTCTTTACGTAAATTACATGCAGGCTCTATATCTGCTACCATTGTAGGCAGATTCTAGAAGATTCCAGAAATTGGCATACATGAAGGTGACCATACCACCAGGGAATTGAACCAGTTGTGGAATGTGATCTTTAGTTAATCAGTTGGAAAAGAAAAGGAGGCTTTTGTCCAACAGAAATCCGTGCCCTGCCACCGAAGTCGATGGTACTTCTTAGTGGCTTCATTGCTTCAGTGTAGTGTATTGCCCCTGGAGAGAAGCTAAATCAAGCACCATTAAATGGCTCTTTCAACTCCCACTACAGTGCAGGCCCTATTAACAACCTTAACTTTGCCCTGAAGTGATTCTGTACTGTGAACGCACAGTTATGATTCATTGGTATTGGTGTTTCTGGTCCCAGATCAAATTGAACTGACGTTTAAAGATGCTTTAATTTTTTTCATGTTGTTTTCTTCATAGTATCTCTAGAAGACCGATGCCTGTATAATGGAAATCAATGGGACCTCAGTGTAGCCATTTTATAGAATCTTTTTGCAGTGCAGAATGTGGCCATTATTTCTCCATTGACTTGGCATTATTTTTAAACTGAAAGAACTCTTTATATAATAAACTTCATAGCCCTAAAAGCACTTGATGCTCTTCTTTATAGCAGGGTTGCTGACTGGACTTCTAGGTTTTCCCTAGACCCATTAAAGACTTTTCAATTTTTAAACCAAGCTAGCTTTATTGTTCAATTCTTAAAAGGGATTTTATTTCATTAAATGAGTCTTTGTACCTGGGAACAGGTCCTTATTTTTAATAAATAATTCAGGTATGACAATTTTACCTTCAGGCTGAAGAGCATGTATTATCTTAGATTTAATAGTTGTGTTATTCCTTTTGTCTCT